TGTGTTACAAGTATTATTATAAAGTAGTGGAGATAGCATGGTATTGAAATTAACACAGATGAACAGATAAGTAGAAAGAACTGAGAGCCCAGACCTATTCACACACACAGATGAAAACCAGACCTATACCAAAATTGGCATTACATATCAGAGGAGAAGAGATAGATTTTTCAATAAATGGTGCTAGACAACTATTTACCATACAGAAAAAAATAAGATTTCAATTCTACCTCTTATCATACACAAAAATAAAGTCCAGGTGAACTAATGAATTAAATGTGAAAAGCAAATTTTTAATACTTTTGGAAGAACATGTGGGAAAATTCAACATGGGTAGGGAGAGATTTCATAAAACACAAAATGTATGAACTATAAATAAAAAGACTGATCAATTCAACTTAATTAGAAGTAAGCATCTCTACTCATCTTTTCATCAAAATCCACCTTCAAGAGAGTAAAAAGAAAAGCTCAACTAGAGAAGATATTTGGTTTTTTTGTTTGTTTGTTTGTTTGTTTTGAGACTGGCCGCACCGCGCTCAGCCAGTGAGCACTGTGAGCGCCATCGGCCATCCCTATATAGGATCTGAACCAGTGGCAGGAGCGCTGCTGCACTCCCAGCGCCGCAGTGCCGCACTCTCCTGAGTGCGCCTCGGGCTCGGCCCTAGAGAAGATATTTGAAACACATATAAACAACAACAATAAACAACAACAAAAAAAACAATCAATAAGAAAAAGACAAACATCCAACAGAAAAAAGAAACAGGGATCTATATGAAAAGATAGCAAATGGCTTTTCAAGTCCCTTCTAAAATTTAAACCTGGGTAACAGATGATGGTTAAAATTTCATTCTTTCGACCAGTGCAGCAATTTATGAATCTGTATGCATATGTATGTTTGTGTGACTACAATCAAAATCACCCACCTCTAAGTGTTTGATTTGCATAAAGTATTAGTAATATATTAACAAAATTTAATACTACAAAGTTTGGGGGATCTGTGTAATATGGAAAAACAGTTGAAATGGAATTGTTAAAATGATCCTTAGAGCAGAATGTTCTCCTACCTCATCTGAATCTATCTTAACACTCCATTTGCTTCACCCAATTTCTATTAATACTTGGTTCTCCTCCTTTCCACTCAGTAAAGCTTTCGCTTTCTCACTACAGCCCAGTGATAACTCTTATCTCTACTTAAAGCACTCCTTTAACTGAGCAATCATCTGACAGTCTGCCTCTGTAGTCTACAAACTGTTCTATGTTGGCACGCATTGCCTGTGCTCTTACTCTTTACGTAACGAACGTCTCCTAGGTAGCTGTCCTTTTAATACTTGTATATTATAGTGTGTTATGATATATTTAGTACATAATTGGTGTGTAGCTCAAAACCAGATTATCACTGAAAAAATTAAAGGTCTTAAGATAATATTTATATTTAATTATAAATTATATCATTCAAAATAGAACCTAAAGAAAAATCTAATAAACTCTGAATATCTTACTATCAAGGAATTCTATACAAATCAGATAAATCATGCAATTTTTAAACTAAATTCAACTTCATTCAAATGAATAAGAATTTTTTTAAGTTTCTCTAGAGTGAATTCATATAAAAGTGTGAAATGATATAGAATAACAAGTAACTTATATGAACCATGAATAAAGAAATCTTTATTTCTACTATAAAGGGCCCCCTAAAAGAGAAAGAAAAGCAGGAATAAAAAAAAGGCCTCTTGAATTATTCAAAGTATACGTAAAAATCCAAACATGTTCACACACTTTAGTTTTAGAAAATCTGCAAAGGTTGCAAAGGTACTCACCAAGAATAAATAAATACTTAGTTTTTATGCAATTATAAAAATAAAATTTATCAGAGCTATAAGCACTTGGCAGAGTACAAGCAGCAAAATAAGAACATGGGGGAAGGGTTGTTAGCTGGAATTGAAAACAACACACAAGGCATAACAAACATATTTTTAAAAAGCAGGTGAACCTGAGAACCTCAGCATCCTAGAGCCCACGTGCTGCAACAGGTCAACAGGATGCCAGCCTGTGATAGATCAGGACAGTAACTGAAGTTCACAGCAAGAATCCTAAGTTGCCAAGAAATGGTTAACAAGATCACATTCTGGTCTAAGAAGGTAGAGTGTGCAACAGCTTTTAGAAAGGTTTCCACACAGGGCCGGCCCGGTGGTGCACTGCTACAGTGCTCCCACCGAGGGTTCGGATCCCACATACAGACCAGCCGCTCACTGGCTGAGCGAGGTGCGGGCGCAACACCGAGGGCTGCGATCCCGTTGCCGGTCCCGGTCCGGTACGGGCGCGACACTGAGGGTTGCAATCCGTTGCCGGTCACGAAAAAAGACAAAAAGGAAAAAAAAGAAAGGTTTCCACACAAAACAGTTGCAATACACCATTTCATATGGAAAGGAATAAGTCATCAGCTTTCCAAAACACCTTTCACCATGATTTCCAGACAGCCCAAATTTCACCATAAGAAATTTCAAACTTTACTAAAAACTCACAATGATTTATCTATCATGAGTTATTGATAAATACAAAAGCATTTGTTAAATTTTTAAATATACAAACCTCCTAAAATAAGAAAGCAAATTCTACCAAAAACATTCACTCTTACAAAACTGAGTAAATCAAATAGCAATAACTTCACATAGCAGAGTGCATCACCTTGCGTATATAATTAAGAAAACGTTATTTCTGCCGGGACAAGAATAGTTTGGTTCACAGTATTCCTAGGATATCAAATAGTATTCTGTCCTTAGAGAGGTATTTTCTGAAACAATAACTACATTAAAAGTGTCCTGGTCACTGGAAAGTTTTAATCAGAAAAGTATCTTTGTACAGAAATATGTCCCCAATAATTTTCTCATCACAGTATCAGAAAGATATTCAAAAAACAACAACAAAAGAGTCGGCTCCAATTTGTACTAAGGATCACCTTTAATCTAAAACTAGATTGGCATACACTTGCTCAGTACTCTATATAAGCTTTTAATTTATTCAAGTACTCCAGAAATTAGTTTACACAATCTTTACAAACTCTGTAAGCACATGCTCCATACAATAATGCTCCATTCTAAGTTCCCTATCTAGCACTCTGTGCAGAAGAGAGCACTGTTCCCAGCACCTAAGGGTCTGGGGGGAGTCACAGGTATGAAGCTCACCTTCTCTGCTTGGAGGGCCGTTCACTGCTCCTCACTCAGTGGCTACATTCATATGAGAATATCTTTAATTGAGCATGATAACTGAAGACAACAGCCAGCAGTAACTCACGAGAGGTTTCAGACAGGCTGTGGACATCCATCAGTTTATGAGGAACACACAAAACACTGTAACCTGTAGGGCTACCTTACAGCTAATCAAATATATGGAAATGGCTCCTTTTTTATCTCTCTTGTCTGGATGGATACAGAAAACCTGGAGGATAAACTGCTTAGATTCCAGCACCCTATTTTTCAAGTGAGGAGTAGAGGGCCAGATCAAGGAGAAAGGAGAGGAGGACTACAGTGCTGTGTGGGCTGAGAAACAAGAACGTCACAGTCACACTTCATAAATGAGGAAATACGTTCTGGGAAAGAAGTGTTAACACAGATGACAAAGTCATTCCATGCTTTGCAGCAAGAAACCACTTGTTCCCCAAGACTCCCGGAAGAGATATTTACAGTAACAGTTTTGCCCAAAAGACGTAAGTCTATCTTATTCATGAAAGATTTAGTAACTGCCTTCTCCTCTGCAAAGAGCCATATTGAGCATGGTGGGGTGTTCAGAGACTAACCTTAGTGAGAAAGGCATGTCGGAGGCCAGGACAGGCCAAAAGCTAGGCCTCTAGCACCAAAAAGTAGCCAAGTTGTGGATGCAAAGGAAAAGTTCTTGAAGGAAATTAAAAGTGCTACTCCAGTGCATACACAAATGACAAGAAAGCAGAACAGCCTTATTGCCGATATGCAGAAAGTTCTAGTGGTCTGCATAGAAAATGAAACCATTTCTAGCTTTTGATTTAACGTCAGAAATAGCAGTTCTTCCTTTCATTTGAACACTTAGAGTCCCTCGCAGCAGGGTTATTAACTGACCTAGTTTCAACACTGCTGTGTCTCAGGGAATAATGAGGCCTGGAGAGAGGGAGAGAGATGGGAAACAGCTGGTCAGTGGAGCAGTCAGAACACATGCAGCATTTATCGATTAAGTTTGCTATCTTACATAGGCACAGTTCCTGGCACCCCAAAACAATTACAATAGTGACATCAAAGATCACAGATCACCATAACAAATGTATTAATGATGAAAAAGTTTGGAATATTCCAAGAATTACCAAACTGTGACACAGAGACACGAAGTGGGCACAAGCTTTTGGAAAGTGGTTCCAGTAGACTTGCTAGAAACAGGGTTGCCAGAAACCTTCAATTTGTACAAAAACACAGTATCTGCAAAATGCAACAAAGCTAAGAGCAATAAAAAAAGGGATGCCTGTAAGTTTTTACTCAGCAGAGTGGTGGGAGGGAAAACTGGGATGCAGGTTGTGCCAGGAGCTGGGTGTGCAATGGGAAGGGACTGAGGAGTTCAAGGGGTAGCTGTGCTGTGGGCTCATCCAACGGAATATTCGGGTGGGATGAAGAGGGAGAGAATGGCCAGGAGGCTTCTGGAACAATGGCGCCAAGATAAGCACCTGGGCAAGACAAACTAAGAGAAAGTAACGGAGCCAAAGCCTAACAGAGGCCTGAACACAGGGGAAAGAGAACAGTCAGACTGTAAGTCCTGTTGACCAGTGAGGAGAAACTACAGGAAAGAACACAACTTACAGAAAAGAGATAAGTTTAAAATTTATGACTTGTCATCCTTTTTAATTTTAAATACTAATCAACTACAGTTAGATTCAAAACATTCAACAAATATATCACCTTCAGAAGGAAAAGGGAGGGCATGTTTTTTAAAAACAAGCAACATGCTATCCAAAATGTCTAAGTATTAAAGCATATTAAAATTACCAGGTAGAAATGGTGATTTCTTCTTTATAATCTTTTTTTCTTTTTTATCCAACTTCTCTGGGCTTTCCTGTTCTTTTGCTTGCTCTGCATCTGTAGGGTCAGTTTGTTCATTGGAAACATTGGAAATATCTGGATTCTGAATCGGCGTGGCATTAGTCCTGGCATGGCTGGAGTCATTAGGATGTGCTGCAACTGGAATTGAAGACAGCCCACTGTTTTCTAAGGCTTGCTAAGACAGAACAAAACTAAAAGGTTAGAAGATAAAGTGGCCCAAATCTGCCTACCAAAATCAATCACAAAGATGTCATAAAGCTTTACCTATAGAATTCTAATTCCACTTCAAGAAATAAAAACCTACAGTTCCAAGTAATCATTTACAACCGAGGCTTCCAACTCTTTGAAGCTGTAACATCCCTGATACCTAACATCGCAACCCCATCCAAAATATATGATAACCACATTTACATTTCTAAATTAAAGGAAATTAAAATTAATTAATTTGACTTTTAGAAATCTTACCTCAAACAACTCTGGTTGTCTCTAAACATATTTGGGAATCCCTATTTTAGGGCATAACTTACACTGGGTTTACCTCTAAGATACTGACTGTGGCCTGACATCTGAGATTCCTTATATCCCTGGTGAGTTTTTTACCATGAAGGTATAGGACGAAGTTTAGTTTAAATAATAGAGAGAGGGAGGGGAAGAAGAAGGCCACTGCTGTTTGGAGGTGGAGAAATTTTGTGATGTAATGCTGGACTAGGGGTACAGCAATCGCAAAAGAGCTGTGTGCTCCCTTTTCTTCCTCCTCTCCCACAGGTGCACAGACTGTTCACACACCGATAAGAGAAAGCCATTGTTAAAACTCAGAATTGTAAACACCTCTATCTCAAAATAGTACACCAGAAACTTAAGAAAAAATAAAATATTTCCTTCGCCTCTGTCAACAGAATACATAAAAGACAAGTTCTGAAAAGCCCACTGTTTTCAGGTAATTTCACTTATGGAGAAACGGTTAGTTTTTTCAACTTTTAAAAATTTATACATTAACAAATCATTTAGAATCCTACACTGTCCATAAGCAATTAGATAAGCAATTTTGTTCCACTATAATTTTTTTTGACTCAGACACATTTTTAATCGGGACACCTTTACTCGGACAAGTCCTGCATATTTATTTTTCAGTAACAGTCCCTGGTTTCTGACAGAGCGCAAGTGCAGAAGCCTCGCGCCAGCAGGTAGAGGTGCTTCACCTGGAGGATGTCCTGGCTGATGCCCACTGTAATACTTAGTTGCTGCCCGGGCTGAGGGGACTGGTTTGACTCCACAGGCCCTGGCTCTGAGAGTTCCAGAAGTTGCTGGATGACATCGGTCACTGCCTGAGAATTCTGCTGACTTGAGGCTGACGTAACTTGGGCTTCCGTCTGCTGAAGAGGTAATGTCTGAAACAGCGTGGCCTAAAACACAGCAACATTTTCACTAAAAACACAATTTTGCTCTTTTACTGGAAAAAGAAAAAGAAATAGTAAATACCCTCCTTAAAAGCATTAAGCTCTAACAGTATCCTAGACATAAAATTTAAACACAGTGCCTCACTGATTTTTGTGTTAGGCACAAGACTGGCTCTTAAATGAACATACTCTGGGAACTGCTGTACTACAATTCTTTTAAGCATTTTTTAAGTGAGCAGTAGAGACTACCAATTCAAGTTGGCAGACTGAGCTCACAAACCCTCATCTTCCGGCTAATGCATTAAATGAGGTGAAAGAATGAAGCAAGTATAAAGTTCCAAAACAAAACAAAACAAAACCACTGTGGTCCAAAAAATTAAACAACTTTCTGAAAAACAGGGAGACTGGAGGAACAAATGCTCTATAATGAGACAGCCAAGAAAATCTAAGGAAGGGGCTATGTGAAACAGGGATCCAGTTTGGTTCCTGAAGAAGCTCAGGAATCTGAAATGCCATATCCAAAATACCGTGGAGGGAAGTGAAACTATTCTATACAATAGTGTAATGGTAAACACAAGACACTATACATCTGTCAAAACCCACAGAATACACAACACCAAGAGGGAACCCTCCTGTAAACTACAGACTTTAGATAATATATCAACGATTATTCACTAGTTGTAACAAATGTACCACACCACCGCAATGTTATAAGAGGGGAAATTAAGGGGCCAGGGGAGGGAGAGTACGTAGGAGTTCTCTGTATTTTCTGCTCAAATTTTCTGTAAACATGAAACTGCTCTAAAAATAAAGTCTATTAATTAAAAAAAAAAGACAGTGGGAAAAAATACTTAGGGCTGAAAATGAACCCCTTTGTCTTTGTCCATAGAACAAGTGCCGTTAGGCAAAAAGACAAGGGATTGCCTCTAAAAAAGAACAAACAAAAAGGGCACCATTTGTGGCACTTAGTTCTCTAGACTAAATACACAGTCCTTTGTGTCCTGCCACCACGGTCCCCCAAGTTCAAGAGCTCATGCCTTGGCATTCACACTGCAAATGACTACTGATGACCCATAAGCACTGTCCACGCATAAAACGTGCACACCCACAGGCTTACTGTTACCTTGCTCTGAAATAAAGACAGGCAACCAAAGATTCTAAATGCGTGAGACAGGGCAGGGGCGGAGGGGATGTTGACCCAAGGGAGATAACTCAATGAGCAGAAGGAAACTTTTAAAAAAATGTTTAGATTTCAGAGGAGGTACATCGAATCAAAAAAAAGTCCTAAAAAAAGAAACAATCAGCTCACACAGGACAGCTCTCAGAATTAAAAATCTCACCAAAAAAAAAAAAGAGTCATAAGATAAAACTGAAGAACACTCTCAAAAGTAGAGTAAAAAAGCCAAGAGCTAGAAAATGTGAAAGGCAAAATAAGAAACATGTAGAATCAACTCAGGAGGCTGAATGTTTGATTCCTAGACAGTCCTGAAAAAGAACGTATACAACTTAACTTATAATGCTTTCTCATACCCAAATTAGGGTACAAAGTAGGGTAGATTCCTGGTTTCTAAACCCTTATACTACATTTTCTGTTCGTTATTGAGAATATAAATTTTTGAAGTGATCTGGATTATCATTCATTCCAGGTTATTCACTACATCTACATTTTGATTTGCATATTGCCAAAGGAAACGGTGAAAACCCTAATATTTGGTTGACTTATACATTGAAAATTTTATTAAAAAAAAGAAGTCCAAAATAGAATTTTCAAGACTTAATTATTAGACTCTTCAATTAGTCTATAGTTTTATAACTTTTTTTACAACATTCTCTCTGATCAAGAATAAACAGAAATTGTCCGAAGATGCAAGAACAAACAGCAAAGTGAACCTGATGTTTAGAAACCGAATGCCAACTAGGCTTATTTTCCACACTGGTAGGAACACAGATGTTGACAACAGCAGCTGCCAACTGGCTGCGTCTGTGAGCACACATTAAAACTTCTGGGACTTTGGTATTTAACGTCTGCTACTTCTAATATACCACATTCTTTGCTTAGATTTGCCTTTTATGATCAATTGAGAAGGTAGTGTAGAAGAAGCAATTGGTAGAGGCTGACCTATAGAATCCCACAAAAAAAGAGCAAAAGTGTGTCCATGTGTGTGTCTGTGCATCTGTGTGTCCACATGTGTCTACGTGTGATGTGTCCCTGTGTGTGCGTGTATGTGTTGAGAAACATACAATTTTTAAATACATGTACTGGAAAATACAATTTAGTTTCCCAAAAGCCCAAAGACTTGGGAAAATTATCACTTTCACATTAGAAAAGAACAAATAACTCTTATCTACAAAGGATATAAATTCTTAAATTATTAATAAAATAATGTAGGGCTGAGCCTGTGGCGCACTCGGGAGAGTGCAGCGCTGGGAGCGCAGCGACACTCCCGCCGTGGGTTCGGATCCTATATAGGAATGGCCGGTGCGCTCACTGGCTGAGCGTGGTGTGGGTGACGCCACACCAAGGGTTGCGATCCCGTTACCGGTCACGAAAAAGACAATAAATAAATAAATAAATAAATAAAATAATGTAAATATAGAGTATTCAATAATCATCAATAACACTATAGGAATCATAATTTCATAAATTAATAATTACATCTTGCCTTACTTTTTTACAAGTTCAAATCATACTCTTCTAAAATGTAAAAAGATGACTTTTTTCACAAATGTAAAAAAAAAAAAAGTAGCAACTTATCACCATATAGGCAACTTTCTTAGCACCCTTTTGGTACTAAACATTTATTTCTGAAGGTCATATTTAAAATAACAAATTTTAGTTTAAAAATTCTTCTATAAACCAAATTTCTAAACTTACCGTTAAGACATGAGCAGTTTCTGTAGAACTTGTTGAATTTTGTGGACCACCCATATGCATCTTGCTGATATGAGTGTTTAAGCTACCTAAACTTTTAAATACACAACTACATTCTGTACAATTATAGGTAGGTCCATTCTTGACCTTAAGGAATAAAAAAGAAAAGTGATATTTTTTTACAATTAATTATTAGATAAACATTTAAGTTATAGCAAGTCATAATTTACCATTCCATTCAAAATGACAGAAATAATCTACATTTTTCAACATTTCTTTTTTCATTTAAATAAGATAGCTGTAGATTCAACAATCCAACTCCTTAAAATATATTCTAGTAAGAGATTAATTGAAATTTCAGTCTTTTCTGTAAATTAGAAATGATGCAGGAGTGAAAAAACATTTTTCAGTTATGTAATCTAATAAAAAAAAATATTTGACATATGATGTTCTCAATTTCTTAAATGGTTAAATATGATGCTCAGTAACAAAGGCTAGACAATTAGATATAAATATTACTCTGAGTAAGCTTTCCAGGGACCAAAACATACATGTTAGGAAGGATTGTCACACAGTGTATAAGTTTTTCGTCACCCATTTTGATATTCCATTCCAACAACTAATTTTAAAAACTATGAAAAAGCCAGAAGCAGAACATCTGTGAACAAAGAAAACATCTAAAATATTCTTCTGCTTTTACTCAAGCCCAGCGTTAGTTAGTTACAATTATGAAGGATGACCCGAAAACCCGTTGGCCTCTCTAAACTTAAACAAGACTCCATTCTATTTTCAGCACCTCATGAAGGACCAGATTTAAGAATTAGATTCCTCACAAGATTGGATAATATTTACAAACCAATCTCCAGAGGCCCTTTCTGGAACAACCCATCACAGTACAGCCCCAGTGTCCCAGCCCCTGAAGGAGTTTTCTAAACTTGGGAGTACAGCCGAGCATCCCACAGAGCTGTGCTCAGGCTCCATGTGGTATCTCTGTGGCTGTACACAGATACAATCATTCTTAAGCAATCATCTCTACTCAGAGGCAGCACCACAGGAATGACACATACAACCCACATGTGCTCTCCTGAGATCTAAAGGTAACCACGCTTCACATTATCAGTACCTCACTAATATATATATGCCCTTCCCAATGTCTCTGTGTCTTAGATAATAGAAAGACTTTTTAAAGTAACTCAGTGTGTATGGAATTCTGAATCTGTTTATAAATCTATGTGAAGTGTGCAGATTTTTTTCATTTTAGATTTTATTTTGCTTATCTAAGATCTAAGACAACTTCTACTTCTTGTTTTATTAAGTTTGGGTACAAGTGTACCATTAACTCCTAGTTCACTTAAGTGTTACTTAAGGTATTACTCCAATGAACAAGATGAAAAGACACATATTTGCTTTTAAGAATATAATAGTTTTCATTGCATGAAACAGTTTCATAGAATAAATTTTTTCTTTTTGGCTGGTCTGGGGACATGAACCCTTGACCTTGGTGTTATAAGGATGTGCTCTAACCAGCTGAGCTAACCGGCCAGCCCACAGAATAAATTGATCCATGATAAAAGTATTTGTGTTGCTTAAATATTTCTTTGTATTCTACAATTCAACCATACATAAGACACCAAATCATGACAATTAGTAAGAGCAAAAGTTAATCTACTTAACAGAAACACTATCAGAGAATCTACAAATCAGTGTGATCTGCAGACCACAGAAAATTACAATAGAAAACTGTGAACATCATTTAGCTGAAATAGTTAACATGAAGCACAGTAGTAAGTAAGCCAGGGCTCTGTCCAAAGGAGACACAAAAGTGCCACATGGGGCTAAACCTAAGTTTAGCAATATTAGCAATAGAAAAATACTTTTTTTCTCAATTTTATCTCTTGTCTTTCAAATTCTTACACTTGATAGCATCTGCGTTTCAAGTTTGCTGAAGGGATGACATAAATTATTCAGACTGATAAATTGTTAACTAACAAAGTTATCATGTATTTTCAAACATTTATTCATCGTGGGCCGGCCCTGTGGCGCACTCGGGAGAGTGCGGCACTGGGAGCGCAGCGGGGCTCCCGCCGCGGGTTCGGATCCTATAAAGGGATGGCCGGTGCACTCACTGGCTGAGCGCGGTGTGGGCAACACCAACCCAAAGGTTGCGATCCCCTTACCGGTAAAAAAAAAAAAAAAAAAAAAAAAAACATTTATTCATCGAACCTTTAATATTGTTAGCAAGAAGACAAAAAGATATTATTTTATATTTCTTCCATATGTAATAAACCAAAAAGCTTCCTATAAATATATTTTTATAATATATATCCTATAAGTATGTTGTCCAAGACAGGGTTTGATCAGCACAAACTCAATCTGCATTTTTTTAAAATGGAAGGGAATGTCTCAGGTTTGCTCATTAACTCAAGAGATTACTGTGTACACCCCCAATGCTGTGTTTACCTCTGAGTGAACTCTCTGTACATGTGACTGAAGATTCCCTTTTTGAGAAAAGGCGGCAGGACAAAAGGCACAGGCGTGGGGTTTTTCACCTGTGTGCTTAATCATGTGGGTTTGCAGTGCCCCCTTCTGGTTAAAAGCTTTTCCACATTCACTACATCCAAATGGCCTTTCACCTAGAAAGGGAGAAAAATGATCAAAATATAATTCCATATTGTGTGAGCATCTTCAGGATTAAAAAGAGATATAGTCAAGTTACCCAAACTTAAGACCCCATATATATCCTTCCAGCCAAAACATCCCCCTGGGGTATTAGACTCATATATATACTTGTCTTCTCAAAATCTCAAAATTAACATGTCCAAAACTGAACTCCTGACCCCCTCCCAAACATGCTCCACTGCAGCCTTCTCCGGTCAATGCCATCCTTTTAGGAGTTCAGGCCAAAAACTTGAGAGTCATCTTTACCTTTGCTTCCTCTCTTTTGTGCCCACAAATATATCATTTGCTGGTATATCAGCAAATCCTGCTGGTTCCACCTGCCAACCATCTCCAGAGCAGCACTGCTCCACATCCACAGCCACCATGCTGATCTAAGGCACCATCCCATCACTGAGCTCCAGAAACTGCCTCCTAACTGGACTCCTTGCTTCCACCCTGGCTCCTTACAGGCTGTTCTCAAAACAGCAGACAGAAAGACCCTTTTCAAAATCTAACTCAGAGCAAGTCACCTGTCTGCCCAAAACCTTCTGATGACTACCCCATGCAGCCAGAGTCAGAGCCCGTGCTGTGGTTCCCAGAGTCTCAGCTCACCTCCCACCATCCTCCTCGCTCCCTCCCCCAACCTTCTGCTGCTCCCAAACACATCAGGCAGGCTTCCATCTCTGGGTCCTTGAATGCTCTCTGCCTGGACTGTTCTTCCCAGCATCCACAAAGCCTGATCCTTCATATTCTTCAGGCCTTTGCTGTAAACCACCTGCTCAGTAATGACTTTCCAGTGCATTCTATTTAACATTAAAACTTCCACATCCATCCTGGGAATCCCTAATCTCCTCCTCTGCTTTATTTCTCTCCACACTGGTTATTATCATTTGACTTTTTACATTTTACTTATTATCCATCTTCCCTCAGAAAATATCCTCTAAAATGGCAAGGTTTTGGTCTGTTTTGTGCACTACTATAACTTCAGTACCAACAACAGTGTTTCACACATACTAGCTTTCAATAAGTATCACTGGATGAAAGAATGAGTGAAAAGAGAAAATTAAGGTAGGAGCGAATTGCAAGGCCAGTTTAATTTCTGGTTTCACAAAATTTTCACTCCCTAAGAAATATAAAGTAACATCAGATTCCTGCTTCTTGGACAGTCTTAGGGTTAAATGAATGAGTGAGATGTGACAGCCCTGGAGAAGGTATGCTGATAGGAAGCGGCCTTGCTTTCAGTTAGGGGAGGAGGGGCTGGCAGTTCAGAAGCATGGTACAAGCCAGGGTCCTCGTCACAGGACTGCTGTGTGGAGACCTACTTCCTGCTCTGGATGGCAATGCCTGAGGTGCACTCACTCAACCCTTCTTGGATGGGGCCCCAGGGGGTTCGCTCCCATCACATCGTCACAGGCAGCACGGGGCACAGCCATGCCAAGACCAGGCCCAGAACATGCACACAGACTGTTTGGGAGCACACGGGAATGGGGGGTGTTGGGCATGTGCAGGTGGCCGCTGCCACCCCTCGCAGGCCCAGACTGCCTGCTGTTTACATGAACTGGCCTGCAATAGCCCATTAGGGTCTGGATAACCTACTTTCCCAGTACACTGGGCAGCTCACAGGCCAATCCAAACAACAATTGTGTGTTTTTAAAGTTCAGTGCCAGGAAGAGTACGTATAGAATCCCAAAATCATATACAGTAATGTGAGACTACACGTATGCATATCTCTGGGAGTGACAGTATACTTAAGATGTGTGTGGATTTATGTACGCAGAGAAAAAATCTAAAAGGGGTAGATACCAAACTATTAAAGGTAGATAACATTTGAGAAGCAGGCCTGAGAAGAATTCTCTTTACTTTTTACTTTATATGTCTCTACTTTGAATAAAGTATATAACATTTTTTAAACTATTTTTTAAAATGAAACTTCAAAGAAGATAAACTAGAGCTTAATACTCTACAAATAAAATGTATTATCACATTTCTAAAGATGTTATTTTCTTTTTCCCTTGCTCCAAAAAATAAACATAAGCTGGTACTCTGAAACTATCAACTTTATACAAAAATATACACAACTCTGAAATTGTCTAAATGACTCTACAATACTCTACATAGAGATATTTCACTGAAAACACTGAAAAGGAAAAAAAAAACCAACAATGTAGCATAATGAGAACTGGTTGACAAGCAACCAGCCAACTAGCTGTGAGCTTCCTTACTCTGTCACTGTAAAGGGAAACCAAATCACAAGTATGGAAGGAAACAAAATGACAAAGCAAGGATCACTTTCATTCCAAATACTGTCACTACTCGCTTGGTTTTCCTCTGTCCTTCCCTAGGAAAGATCACGTATTACTAATGCAATATCATAAACTGATTGTTTTTTACAAGATGGCAAAGAGTATTCTGCCATGAATGCCGGGCTCACTTTCAAACATCTCAGCAAAACTAACAAATGAACAAGGTGAGGTAGGGAGAAACCAAGTTTTCATTATTTTAATGTTTTGCAACCTAGTTAGTGAGGTGAAATTACAGAACATGAAGACCTAGTGCTTTCTTCATTAATTTAGATCTAATTAGCCTAGTGTAACATCTGACACATTGTAACACTCAAATATTCATGAATTAAATGAGTGAATAAATACCTTAATAATAATAACAATAACAATAATAATAATAATAATAATAATAATAATAATAATATCAACTCCCAATTATTGACAGCTTACCATATACCAAGCACTTTGCTATGAGCACTACATATATTTTTCCATTTACAATGTAGGACAATCATATGACAGACAGAATATTCACATCTTTCAAGTGAAGAAATGAAACCACAGAAAGATTAATTTCACCAAGATTACACAGCAAACTATGGGAAAGCCAGGATTAGATTCCAGGTCAAGCTAGTGCTAAAGCACATAATAAAGCATAATAAATCATCCAAAAGTAAAGGTTTTTCATACCTGTGTGTATCCTAATATGTCGAGTTAACTGACTTGGCTTTTGAAATGTCTTTCCACAGTGTGGACATGAATATGTGAATCCACTTCTGTCAATGTTCCGATTATAAGACCTTGTACCTGATACCCTAGTACAACACAGGGGAGAATACATATTCAGTCATCTCTCTTACATTACAATTTCAAAATGAAATCCTACTGGAAAGTTTAGCTGGCTGGTCATCAGAACATGTTTTAATGATAAGCCAATCATGTATATATACGAACATGTGACATATACACATATACATGTATGAGACTTCTGTATTCAATATCATAAAATTCATTTTTTCTATTTCTGATGAAAAGAGAAACTTGGCTATTTCAAGTCAAAAAACTGCAGTTGGAGTGGGGAAGAGGAAAATGTCTCTTCTAGACAAAGTTATACCCCTGATGGTCACACATAAAGACAAGTCAGGTATAATTTCTGTGTCGACACTAAGTCTGCGCTATCTCCCCAGTCTCCTTGCTTTCAATACCTTATAGAAGGGGCTGACTTCTAAACTCCTACCTCCAGCCACTCTGACACCTGCTCCAAACCCGAGCCCTACAGTGCTCTCTGCCTGTACCACCCTGCACCACCCCGCCGGGGGAGCTCACCAGCAGCCTAAACCTAACACACGCAGGAGACAGCTCTTCATTTAATCCCACCTGCTCCTCTGCATGTCAGGAAAGGGAAACTGCCGGCTGTGCATGTTTAAACCTCAGGAGTCACACTAGCATCATCACGTCCATCTGGAAACGCTGCTCGTTTGACTGAAACTCACTCCCACGAGCTCCCATCACTCACACCCAGTGCCTGTCGAGATCCTGGAACAGCAGCGTCTTCCCAGCCTTCTGCTTCGATGGCCTCCTAAAGGGTCTCCCTGCCTCAACTCCCGCCCGTACAGCAGCCACAGCGATATCCTTCAATCTGGTCAGGCCAAGCTTCCCCGTAAAACCCTCGCACGGCCAGCTGTCCACATACAAATGAGACACCGCGCTCCCAGGAAGCCTTCAGCCCTGGCCTGCACTCTCCCCTCTGCAAAAGGCTCCCAACCACCCCTCCTGTTTCTGAAACACACAGTCGGCTGCTCCTGAGATTCTGCCAACTGCTCTCTGCTCAGCCTGGAATGCCCTTCTGGACCTACAGGGCTCCTTCTCCTCCTCCAAGTCTCCTTTCTAATGCCCTCCTCAGAAAGGCCTGTGCAAAACAGCCACCTCCCCCGACCACCACTCCAGATCAACCTGGTTTTCTTTCCTTCTCAACACTATATATATGAAGCTGCTGAACTGACTAACCCACTCACAAGGTCACTGTTGATCTTCCCTACTAAATAATAGCTCCGTGAGGATGGGGTCTCATCGTCTGGTCTGTCTCAAACTGGGAAGACCAAGAGAGAAGCCAGGGCTGTCTATGAGCCTAACGACCCCCTTAACATCTACAATCATCTCTCTAAAACCTTAGAAGAAACATTGAAAATGTCTTCATTAAAACTTCCTCAAAACAAAATCTAGTGTGTACAGAGAACATGAATTATATTTTGGGGGTTTAAAAATCACTGAAAAAAATGAAGTATTAGATGGATACCACATTAGTCAAGAATAGATCAAATAAAAAAGAAAGATGAGACAGTTGATCCTATGAACATGCTCATCCACATTTCTAAAACACAAAAGCAAAGGGATAAATACTACAGAGTCTTCAGGCATTCTATAAACTTTAATTAACTGGGGTGGGACTTCCTGTTACTGTTAAAAAGTACAGATATTTCCTACCCATTTGCGCTTGGACGGGTGGCAAGCTAAACTGATAATAGTTAAAATAATTGATACTGCCTTTGAGTTATTGGGGAAATAAGCTAAATGAGTGTGACAATTCATTGTCACCATCGACTCACCTGAGCACCAGGGCCAGGAAGAACTCCTTATTTCATTTTATTAAGAAATGGGAATATCAGTAAAAATACATAATTAGGAATGCGTGAGATATGAAATTTTGAAAAATGTGTTAAATTTGACTAGGAATAAATCATACATGCATTCAAACATAGGCATGGTTGTTAAGATCATGAGCTCTAAAAGCAGACAATTAGGATTTAAATCTCTAAATCTTGACTTATAGGCTGTAAAAACCTCATGAAAGTTACTTGATCTCCCTAATCTAGGTTTTCTCATCTGCAAAATGGGTATATAAAAATACCCTGGCTTGATAGGGTTGTTTGTAATGATTAAATGAGGTTATTAATATATTTATTTTTTTATATTTATATATAAATATATAAATACTTTATATATTTATATACATATTTCTATACATACTAAGAACAGTGTCAGGCACAGATGAATTCTCAGCAGTTAGGTGCTATAAATAAACTAATTCATTAAAAAGGGTGCTAATTAGGCTTTTATAAATCTACTTTACATACTTTGTTACCTCCCCATAAAAAACATATTGCCGGTACTGTGTTCTAAAGCTTTTAATACTATAATACTAGCTAAACATTTCTACCCATACAGCTTGACACCTATTAATTTTCACACTTGTCTTCCCTACTACAGACATGAACTATACGTGTTATAAAAGACAGTCTGACACCATACCAAATTAGCTGTGTGGTTCCACTTTGCTGCGTTCTTATTCTAAAGCAGCAAATACTTTTAATTGATTGTAGCAAACTATGCCAATTTTAGACATACTATATAGATTTTTTAATCAAGCTCGACTAGTGAGTCTTACCTAATTTTATAATGAGTCTTCATGTGTTCCTTCAGCTCTGATGAGGTTTCAAACTCCTTCTTGCAGGCCTTACACGTATGAACGCGGGTTCCAGCCAGCTCCTGACGGTGCTCCTCCATGTGTATGGCCAACTGGCTCTGCAGAGTAAACTCATCCCCACACTCAGAACAGATGAGGTTCTGGAAAAGAGAACGCCATTGATGAGCAGAGAAAACATTTCAAAACCATGACTTCTGGAACTAGTATCGTAAATGGTCAATCTACAAACTATTCTCTCCTCTGAAACTAGCATGATTTTCGCTTCTCAAAAAATGTATCATTATATCCAAATCTGGATATATATAAAAGTTGTTTCTTTATGAGAAGAAAAAGATGGAAACGCTGGAAAAAGGATGAGAGAATACAATTTTTGAGCAAAGTGACTTCTGTTTCAAATCGGCTGTTGGGTATCTGGCCCGTGATCTGTTTGTTCTGTGAAAACTTTAAAGAAGCAGAATGAGTTCAACACCAGAAAAGGGCAGAAAGAATTCAAACTGAGATTATGGCTTAACAGACCACCTTAAGACAATGACAGCTGGTAAGTTTTTAAATGGATATACCTCATCGTTCTTTGAATTTGGCTTTTAGGCAGAGAAGATTACAGATTTGGCCCAAATGTGCCTTACTAAACACATGAAACAGGGATAGTCTGAACTGAGGGGTGGAATGTGTGTAAAATGCACACAGGAATTCAAAAACTCGGTGCAAAAAAAAAAAAAAAAAGAATGTGAAATAGCTCATTAATGTTTATTATCTGAATGGATAATATTTTGGATATATTTTAATAAATTAAATATATTAATAAAATTTATCTCACTTTTTAAAAATTTTTTTAATGTGGCTACTAGAACACCTAAAATTAGTCATATTATACATTTCCATTGACAATGTTCTGGAGTGGGGTCTAGACTCATCTTCAGGCTGCCAATTACCAGCTACATAAACCTGGGAGCTTTACCCACTGTATGCGTATAAAATAGGGATAATAATAACACCTACCCCAACAGGGTTGTTATAAAGTTAAATAAAACAATCCATGTGAGCTGCTTATAGTGGATGGCGCAAGGTGAGAACTCAATAGTGACCTCAATAAGTAGCGATTGTTGACTCAGTACAAATTTCAACGAGTTCACTCATTTGGAGTTCCATAATACAATTACTTACTCAAATGATCTTCAAAATTAACTATCCAAGCATGAAAAAATGTGAAAACAATCTATCAATGAGCATAACTGTTATTTGAAATAAAATATATTACTATTTCTATCAGACTTTCTTCTAATTACTGTACATATCAGTCTTGTAAATGTAAACTTCATTAAAATAAGTTCGTAAACAGATACTACCTACGGCTACAATGCAGAAAAAGAATGGAATATTTTGAGCAATCCAATATGATTTCAACTTAAACAACTTTTCATTAGTATTACTGTACAGTCATGCATCACTTAACTAGCAGGATATGTTCTGAGAAATGTGTCATTAGGTGATTTTGTCATTGTGCAAAGGTGTATTACGAACGGAAACAGTCATGAATTTTCCTGTTATCTACACTGGCCACTAGGTGCATGAATGTGGTCTCTCTGTGCTCACTTTCCTCATCTGCTATATGGAAATTAGAATAATAACACCCCCACAGTCATGAAAATTAACTTATGGCTAGAAATGTGTCTAGCTCTCAGCATACACTAGGCGAGTATTAGCTAGCTTTACTATTATTTTGCCATAGGGATGGGTGGGAGTCATTTAAAATGCAAGAATTCTGAAACAGACAACAAGCCTTACACTTGGGGTCAGACCTAATGTGTCAAAAGCCTGGCTTTTTATCTTAAAGGTCTGAGCGGCCTTTGGGAGGGTCACCAGGGGTAAGCTAGGCACTCCTGCTCAACACACTTTGCAGTGGGTCTGTTTACACCAGCATCACCACGAACACATGAGGAGTGCATTGCACTCCAATGTTAGAACAGTTACAACACTAGGCGACAAGAATTTTTCAGTTCCATTATAACCTTATGGGACTACTGTCATATATGTGGTCCGTTGTTGATCAGAATGTAGCTATGCGATGCATGACTGTATAATAATTTAAGGAAATAATGAACTACTAAATTTTTAGTAACTTGCTAATAGTAAAGAAAATTCATTCTAGGAAACATCCAAAAGTGAAAAAGTATTTATCATAATTTGCTGCATCTCTTTTAAAAAAAATATGACCTCTGCCTCCTGAATGTGTATGGCAAAAGATAGTATCTTTCAACAATGATTCCACCACATCTCCTGTCTTAAAATTACAAAGTAAAATTTGACTCTCACATCCCTGTTTCCTATGCCCATTCTTTTATTGCTCTGGCTCACATCCATCTTCTTTTCCCTTATTTTTATGAAATGATCAGACTAATGTATTTCAGGGGATATCTATTGGGACATTACTCAGATATTTGTTGGAACTGTCTCAGTGAAAACAGAGGTTTATGCACAATTTGCTAGGATGGTGAGAGCAGGAACAAGCACAACCCTGGGCCCCAGCCAAGACCTGCTACATCACAAAAACCACATCACAGTCCCCCTGCCCTCTCCCCCCGCACACACACACACATCCTGGCAACACTTGAGGAAGTCCTGGCAAGGAGGGCAGCACCTCATGCACAGTTACAGGCCACTGGACAAGAGACCTCCCACATTACTGCATCCTCTGTGTTCAGAGTCAGTATCAAGTGTCTCTCCTAGAAACAGAGACTGTCCGGGGATAATTCCAATGATGCTAAGTAGGGAAACGCACAGCATTTTAATCAATCCCCATCTTGCTGAAGATATGATAATCTCTAAAAAGCGAAACAGAGTGTGCAATGAGATGAATGCTAATGGCCTTGAGGCTGCTCTCCCTCCGCCTCTCTCCCTTTCCGTCTCCTGCCCAGGGCCACTGGTGTGGCAGGCACACTAGTACCAAGACTGCTGCCAGTTAGGCCACTTGGAACCTTCCCTTCTCTCAGTGGCCTTCTCATGCTCCAGCACCACACCTCCTGTCCCAGGCTTTCTCTGGAGCCATTCTCTCTTTCCTAAAGCAGTTTGCCTCTGTCAACCTCAAATGGTGCTCAGCACACAAGATAAACCTAAAGCCCACCCAAAAATGTTGCTCTTCTCTCAGCACTTACAGTACCTGGTCCATATCACTGTTCATCTTATTCTTCTGCTTCTCTTTTCTTGCTTTCCTGGATTATTTTTTGAATTTTTTAGAATTTTTTATTTATATGTAGTACTTTTGAGTACATCATTTTGTATGGTTTTCTTGGAGACTACTCTAGTTATTACTACACACTTGTAACTTACCACAATCTACGAGCACTCATATTTTACCATGAAAGAAATATAGAAAACTTATTGGCATTCAAGTCCCTTTACCCTCCCCCTTTTAAAATATAATTGTCCTAAGTACTTTCTCTATGTACACTGAGCACACCGGATGATAATTTCTGCTTCAACTATCAAGTATGATTTAAGAATTCACAAGGAGAAGAATAGTGTATTATATTCACCCAAATTTTTTCATTTCCACTCACTGTTTGTATTAGTCAGGGTTCTCCACAGAAACAGAACAAACAAGGTTTGTGTGTGATTATTATAAGGAATGGGATGACAGGATTATGGAGGTTGACAAGTCCCAGATCTGCACTGTGGCCAGCAGGTAGAGATCCAGGAGAGCAGACGGTGCGGATGGAGTTTGCAGGCCTGCTGGAGAATTCCCTCTTGCTCAGGAAGGCAAGACTTTTTGTTCATTCAGGTCTTCTACCGACGAAGTGAGGCCCACTCCGATTATGGAGGGCAATCTGCTTACTCAAAATTCAGTGATTTAAACATTAATCTCATCCAAAACACTGTCCAAGTTTTGCTTAAAATAAACCAGCACATTGTCCTTCTCTTCCCTTCTGAAGTTCCAAGCCCCCTTCTGTTATCACTTCCTCTCTTTCAAGAACGACTTTTAGCGATTTTTTAGAGTAGGTCTGCTGGTAATAAACTGATAGTTTTCCTTCATCTCAGACTTTCTTTATTTCCCCTTCATTCATTCCTGAAGGATATTTTCACCACACATAGAATTTGCAATCCACAGTTCTTGTCTTTGAGGAAATGAAACATGTCATTTTCTTCTAGCCACCAGGGATTCACATGAGAAATTCACTGTCATTCACAATGGTGTTCCCTTACAGGGAATGGGTCATTTCTCTATCTAGTCTCTTTCAAGACTTTTTCTTGCATGTGGTTTTCAAATGTTTGATTATGATGTCTCTTGCTGTGCCTTTCTTTGGGTTTATCCTGTTTGGGATTCAATCATCTTCTTAAATCTGTAAGTTATGACTTTTATCAAATCTGGGTAATTTCCAACCATTATTTCTTTTTGAATGTTTTTGGCCCCACACTCTTCTCATCCTTCTGCCATGACTGCACATGTTGGATCTTTTGTTACTGTCCCAAAGCTTCCCCAAGGCTCTGCCTTCCAGCTCACAGTTCTCCTCAGTCCTTTCCATTCCACTGCTGAGCCCTTCCACTGAGTTCTTCATGCCAATCACTGGAGTCTCCAGCTCTATAATTTCCCTTTGGTTCTTTCTATCTTCTGTTTCTTCCACTTTTTCCATTTGTTTCAGGACAAAGCATTTTTACGATGGCTACTTTAAAATCCTTGTCAGACAATGCCAGCATCTGGTTCCAGTGGGACTATGCTGGTTCTGCGTCTGATGATGTCCCCATTCTTGTCTGCATCCCAGACATTCAGAGTGTTATGCTGTGAGACTCTGGATCTTGGCTTCTCTTTGGGCAGGCAGTCACCCTGCTCAGATATAGTGTGAAGACCAGCTGGGGCAGAGGTTCACCTTGTAGGGCCCTGCTGATCTGGGGTAGAAAGCGCAGTGCACAGTGGTCTATCTCTTATCACTGGTTAAGTCTCGTTGCTGGCAGGGGGTGGGGGTGTGGGGGTGGTAGGGAGGCTCAGCTCCCCACTGGATCCCATGACACTGCTCTGGCAGGGGAATCAGAACACTCACTGCTCCTGGTGGAGGGTGGAAGGTGGGCTTCCAGCTAGGCTCTGCCAACACATTCAGGAGGGGGATTCTGGGTGCTGCCTCCTTCTGCCAGAAGGGGGGTGCAGGAT